AGCTGCAGAAAACGGGAAAGATACACCCTTGCCTCCTCATCCTTCAAGCCATGGAACTGGATAGAGGATGTAATGAGTTGAATTCACCATGTCTTGATCTCGAAGTTATTCGCTGGAATGGGCGGGTAGAGGATGATAGGGCGGATATCAGCAATCCGTGGAGTGTAGTAGTACTCCAAGGTGGGACCCGGCGACGGTGGATGATGATGAACCCCATCTGCCTGGGGTATGGGGTTGTTCCCCAAGATCTGATTCACCGGGGGAACCTGGTGAGGATTCCCCTGGTGTGGATTGTGATCTCCTTCCATCTCGTACTCATCCTCGGACTCGGTGCTCAAATGGCCGTCTATGTGCTCCTCCGTAGCCAGTCTAGCTCTCTGTTGTCTCCTAAGTTGGCGACAGGTGCGTTCAAGCTCCGGATCCAACGACAGTAAACCTCCTGACTGGCTATGGGTCATGCACTACCTGCACACAGTCAAGCATCAAACCCGTGAAGGCACAAGTGGGACAAAGCAAACAATGCAAAATGAAAAGCTAAATTAACAAAATTCACGTTTCTTCAACAACCTAGCCGTCCCCGGCAACGGCGGCAAAAACTTGATTCACTCCTACTATCACTCTAGCAAATGGCCAAGTGTAACCACTTCCTAAAGCGTAGTATAGCGGGTTTGGGTTTTAATGTCAACTCGGGTCCTAGATGTGATGACTACTCAGCGAATTCTTATTATTTAGCGGTGAAACTTTAGTGCAGGTTCAAACAAGCAAAACAAGCAAAGCAAGCAAGAAGGTTGTTTTCAAGTCAAGAGAGGTCACCCGGATATGGTTCCCCCTAAACTGCAGTTAAGCCAGATTGCAATTTACCAAGTTCAGTTTTAATGATAGTTATACTACGGAAGGTTCTTAAGTAGTCTGAAGTCTCGACTAAAGGTCTCCAGACCCTCTCAATCTGAGTCCCCTGCGGGCGACTAACCTCCACCGAAGTAAACAGATTGAGGCCCTAAAGAACAAAACTTCCACTACCGAAGCAAATTCGGTACAGAATAGTGAATTGGCTCCTCGACTAAAGTCGCCAATTCACTACCTTCAATTAAGGATGCTCTATCAACCTAGGCATATATTCTCTTTCTAGGTCAAAGCAGAAATAACAGGAATTTGATCAGGATTCATGCCATTCAACAAATCAAACCTCAATTGAATATAATCAAATCATAGAATCTGTACTTGGGTTCATACAATCAGGCCTAACATACAAATCTAGGGTTCTCCATACCCAGATGAATGAGGGAGTTACTCCATGGAGAGAGAAGCAAAAGCAAGCTCAGATGCAGAAATCATGCTGTGAAGGATGGGTTTCTGCTCCTGATCGTCTATCGGCACTTCTCCAAATGTGATTCGAGCTCCAATGGTGATTAAGATCAAGCTAGGGAACTGGGAAAATTGGCTTAAAACCAGAAAATCCCGACTCACATGGCCAGGCCACACGGCCGTGTGACATCCCCAGATGCTCGTGTGAGATGTGCAAACCGCAGCGTTTTGATAACTGACTCAGGCTTCCTACACGGCCACGACCCACACGGTCGTGTGGACTTTCAGGGTGCCCGTGTGAGTTCCCTGGAATTTCCACACGGCCACCAGGGTTCCCCTACACGGCCGTGTGGCTTGTAGGCATGCCCGTGTGACTTCTCAGCTTCTCGCCAAACGTCCAAACTTCGTCCAATCGACCCCGAACTCGTTCCTAAACCTTCATTCACGTACTAGGACCTGAAATATTACAAACAAGAACAACCTAGCGTGAAATCGGCCTAAAACGCGAGAATCGACATCTCAAACGGCTTAAGAATAGGGATAAAAACATGTGTAATCAATGGTCTATCACTTACCCAAGCATAACTACCTACACATGAGGCATAAATTAACTAGAACAACTTACTCAATGACAACTTTGATTTGTCGGGATTTACTCTTCTTCTTCTTCTTCTTCTTCTTCTTCTTCTTCTTCTTTCAACCATGGCGAGTGCTAGGAGAATTGGAGATCTCTAAGCCTTGTGAATCCGCCCCTTAGGACATGCCCTTATGTTTGCTAGATACCCTAGAAAGGAAGCGTAATACAAAATGTAGAAGAACACCACCAATCCATTCACACTCTAATTGAACTCTTAAAATCAACCTTAACCTCATCAATGCACCCCCACACTTCAGTGAGAAAATGAGTAAAAAGGGGAAGCATGGATGTAAAGAAATGGCACATTCAACATAAACGACATTAATTATCCACCAAAGAACCTAACTCGTGCAAGGTATATTCAAAAGCATACAATTTCAAAAATATAGCTTAGGTTCAAAGAAAGTGGAAATTATGTGGTTGGTGCATTTCTTTGAACACTTGGTGGGCGCACTCAATGGACAATTGAAATCATGCCAAAGGGCTAAGGTTCTGTCATTCATCATCTAAGCAAATCAATCTCTAACTTTAACAAGTTATTCATAATAAAAAAAAAAGGATACACCAACCAAAATTGATGGGTTGCATCCCAACTACCGCGTCTTTGAAGTCTTTTCGCCGGAATTTCACTTGAGGGAGCTAAGCGAGAGGAGCTCCATCCTCCACTTTTGATGCTTTGTAGTAATCAAAACTTATGGTGAAGCCCAAGTTGGGGAACATGAAGTCTCTCGGCCGCCTCATATGTGGCTAGTGATTAAAGCATTCATCGGCCCATTGATGATGTTTGAAGAAATCAAGCTTCCTTACTCCAAAATCTTCTTCCGTGAGAGGCTTGTAGCACCCTCCGTATTCTTATTTTTCCACAATGGAAATTAACTTGCTTCCATCTTTCTTATTCATTTTATCACGGATCTTGGCCTTAGGATACTTTTTTAACTTCCAAAGTACCCTCCTATCTAACTTGGCTTGATGGGAGATGAGGAATAACTCTTGCATCTTCTTGTTTTGAGGAGAACTAGTCTCTCCGAGCTCTTACATTGACTTCTTTGAGCCATTATTCTCTCCATTCTTTGTATCCATCGGATGCTCGTGAAATACCAAGTTTAACCATTCAAATTCGAGGCTTGAAGGTGGTGTTGGAGGAGGTGTAACTAGCTCACAATCCTTCTCCACGTCTTCGTATATTTAGTACTTGTGGAAAGTGAGGAGTGGAGTCATCTTATATCTAATCTCCTCCTCATCGAACCTTAAGAAAATTTGACTCTCACTAACATTAATGATTGTCCTTGTTGTAACCAAGAATGGTCTTCCAAGAATAATTGGTGTGTCGATACATACTTCCATGTTCAAGATAACAAAGTCCTCGGGGTAAACAAAATGAGTGTAGTTCACCAATACATTCTCGATTACTCCACAAGGCGTAGCAATAGACTAGTTAGCAATTTCAATCTTCATGTTTGTTGGAGTGAGTAGTCCCAGATGGAGCTCCTTGTATATTCTCGTATGCATGTTGTTAATACTCAAACCCAAATCAGCTAGAGGATTCCAAAAGGTCGTGCCACCAAAGGCACATGGATTAGTGAATACTCTGGGATCTCTCATCTTTGGTGGCATACCTTCACAACCAATTGACGTAGAAGTGACCTCACTCATCGAAACCATAGCAACTTCCTCCATTTTTCTCTTTCTGTAAGAAACCCGCTCTAGGGTCTCTAGGGACTGATTTTCGGAAACCGTAAATATACGTAGCGATAGGGATTTGGAAATAGAAATTAGGGATTAAGATAGGAAAATTGAGGATAAGGAATTGAAGAACAGAATCGGGGGTTGAGATGGAAGAATGGTCGGGGCCTTTTGAGGGAGAGAGAGGGACGAGAATTGAGAGAGATTAGAGACTAGGGTTTGAGAGATATTTCTGTAATATGATTCTTGACTGATTATGACGTAAACCCAAAGTACATATTTATAGGGAAAATACCGGTAAACCCTAACAAATAACCTAATTGGACTAAATCTCTACTAACCATAATAATAATAATTATGATACTAAAAATAATAAAGGAAACCCACCAGAATTGGGTTTCTAACAATCTCCTCCCCTTGAAAACGACCTTGCCCTCAAGGTCGTAGCCGACTTTCGTCTTCTTGACCCTCCGCTTTCTTCGTTTCCAATTGCTCTCGAGTTCACGAAGAACTCTTCTTCGTCAATTCCAATTCCTCTCAACTTTTCTCCAGCTTCCTCCACTCTTTCGAAGTCCACGAAATAAGAGTCGGAGAATTGTTCTTTGTTGTGTCAATCCTTGTAAACCACCTTAAAATCTTCTATGGACGGCTCCATTGATTTTGTCTTGGGCTTGGTGGTGAAGACAAACTCTTTTGGGCTCTATACACCTCCAAATAAGTTTGGATTAAACCGTCTAGCAACCCATGTTTTAAACCAATAAGCCCATGGTCTTCTTCCTTCCAATTCGGTCTCCGCCAATTAGATGCAACAAAACAGCCCATTCTGGCCCAAGAGTCTCCTGAGATTTTCGGCCCACCATTCTCTTGTAACCAGCTCCCCCCTCTTTTGTTCAGCTCACCACCCAGCTCTTTCTCGACCCACTTCTTTCTTAGTTGAGGTCCGAGAATTGGCAGAGTCTGCTGATTTAGATGGCCCAAACAATCCACTCCTTCATGCCCATGAAAACTGTTGGGCCAAAATAGTTTATTCTCCTTATCTGGTCCGCCCAACTCGAGCCCAGAAACCTCCAACCCACCAAAAACGAGCCCGATACTTAGCTCTGGCCCATCAGGACATGCAGCCCGGTAAGTAGGGCGGCCCAAATGGATTGGCCCTCCCTCTAGGGTTGCTGGCGAAGGGAAACCAATGCCGCCTTCCACCTTCCTCTCACTTTCCTATCCTGACGGTGACCAACCCAACAGCCAGGCTGGCTCCGGCGAGCGATTCCTCCAACGATGATCAGGCTTGCATGAACCCACCATCGTCTTCATCTTCTTCTCATTTTTCCGCGACTTCCTCATAGAACGGCGGACACCACAACGACCCAGCTCTGCTTCACGGCATCGGTCGCCGCCCTCCTTCTTCGATGATGCGCAATCGCTCCGGTGGCACGGCGACCAGGCCGACTCCGCCTCCGTCTCCAGGTCCGGCTTCTCCTCTCGGATTCGAGAACGCTCCTAGTCGCACTCCTGACCTGTTCGCCTTCTTCTCCGTCGGCATCACTACAGCAGATCGCGGCGTCGGCGCGATTTGGGTTGCCATCACGGATAACCACCGCATCTGCTCCTTTGCTTCGCGCCCTCGGTGATAACCGAGGTCGCGCCTCTCCTCCGACGATGGTCGTTGCTTCAACTGCTGGGCTCTGACGAGTCAAGCTAGTGACTCGTCATCTTCTCCGCACCCCATCGTCGATCCCGGCCGTCGCGGAGCTTTGATAATGTGTTCCTGCTTTTCAAGTTCCTGGACGTCAGAATCTTAGCCGGTTTGATCGATGACGATGGCAGGATTGGACTTGTTGCTGCTTCTCCGTCGGTAATCAGCTCTAGTTGACACAGTGCATGCTTCATCTCCTTGTCTCCCTCTGCTATGGCCGACTTCTCACGATCGAAGCTGTCATTGTACCCTTGATTCTTATTCTGAAATCTCCAGTTGTTATCCAGGTTGGTGTTGAACTTCTCCCTGCAACTTCGGCCCTGAATTCTTCTCTGTGGACGAAAGCCATCTCGTTGCTTGAAACTGCGGCACGGATGACAAAATCTTCTTCTTCTTGGCTCACAACAGCTTTAGTCGCTTTGGTGGCCCTCTCCTTCTCCTCGGTCGTCAGCGCAACGACTGTGGGTGGTGTTGGGATTCCTTTCGTGGCCGGTAACTTTGCCGCCAGAGTTCCATCAATGCTGCAGCTTCTTTCTCAACCTTCACAGCGGCGGTGGTTTCCCCGTGCTCGAACTCGATTGGGAATGCCGGTTGATCCAACTAATCTTCAAAATGCATTTCAGCGACCAGCGGTTTAATTACGGTTGCGGTTGGAGGTGGGATTGGACTCATCTCCACTTTCGCAGCCTCCAACTTCATTCTAAGAACCATGGTGAGTTCTCTTAGCGAGAGTCCTTCAAATCTCGATGTGGCTCCTGTACGAATGCCTGCAACCGGGCTCTGATACCACTGTAATAAACCCACTTCTAGGGTCTCTAGGGACTGATCTTCGACACCCGTAAATATACGTAGCGATAGGGATTTGGAAATAGAAATTAGGGATTAAGATAGGAGAATTGGGGATTAGGGATTGAAGAACAGAATTGGGGGTTGAGATGGAAGAATGGTCGGGGCCTTTTGGGGGAGAGAGAGGGACGAGAATTGAGAGAGATTAGAGACTAGGGTTTGAGTGATATTTCTGTAATATGATTCTTGACTGATTATGACGTAAACCCAAAGTACATATTAATAGGGAAAATACCGGTAAACCCTAACAAATAACATAATTTGACTAAATCTCTACTAGCCATAATAATAATAATCCTACTAAAAATAATAAAGGAAACCCACCAGAATTGGGTTTCTAACACTTTTCCTATAAGATTTCCTTCAATAACTTGTATACTTGGGAATCTTCATAACCATATCCAAGAAGAGGATGAGTTACCTTAAGTTGCTTGAGAGTGTCTTCCATTGAGCATATTCATGATGTCGATCACTTTCGAATAATCTCTTAAAGTAAGGTTCCCTTGGAACGTATTCCGATAGTTGATTCTTCTTTGGGACTTTGTCTTCTTCGACATTGATCTTGGTGGGGACTATCACATCCTCTTAAACACTCTTCTCTTCTCTAGTAACTTCTCTTTGAAATTCCCTTAAAGGTGCTCGGGGTGTTGATCTTAGAACTTCCTTCAATGGTTGGCCACTCTTAAGAGTTACTGCATGGCATCCTTCTTTCGGTTTAGGTTCCATATTACTGACTCGCTCTGACTATCACAATAAAATCCCACCTAAGGTCCAAGTATAAACCGTAGATGGGTGCAATATAGGGAAAGTATGTTTAAATATCGACCAGCGCTGGTCGATGTACCGCTACTTCGACTATTTGAAACATTATCTAGCGGATTGGTTTTGGTGAAAACAAAGGTCTAAAACTAAATTGCTTTGTAAAGGTAAAATGGATTTGACTCTAGTTGAGAAAGCTTCACCCGGGTGTTGCTCTCCCTCGCTAACAATTATGACTTGAAGAATCGAATGACCGTGTGTTGTTAGGGGCGTCATAAACCGCAGGAAAGTCTAACAAGTAGCTGAAGCTACCCTCTTAGCCTCTAGATTGATGAATGGGATACGATCCAAGCGACTAATGTGACCCTCTCAACCTATTAACTAAGGAATGGTTAGACTTCACCCTCGAATTGGAGTTCGGACGACCACCCACAACCAAACCCAAAGTGCTAATGCGAATTAGGAGGTTTGCCATTTAACTAGCCTAGAATAGGAGGCATATATAGAATGCCCAAGGAAACCCATCTCTAATAGAGCCTCTTAAGTTAATGAGGATTCTCTCTAAACTAGCTTAGGAAGCATTGAATGCCCAAGGAAATCCATCTCGAAATGAGCCTCTTAGGTTAAGGATGGTTCTCTCTAAACTAGTTTAGGAGGCATTGAATGCCCAAGGAAACTGAACCCCTTTGGGTAAAGGAGGTTTGCTCTCTAAACTAGCCTAGGAGGCATGAAATGCCCAAGAACACCCATCTCAAATTGAGCATCTTAACCTAAGGAGATTTCCTCTCTAAACTAGCCTAGGAGGCATGAAATACCCAAGAACACCCAAATAGCCTCCTAACCTAAGGAGTTTTTCTCTCTAAGCTAGGTTAGAATGGCAATTCGATTGATAGGCTTTCACACAACACAATCATTTCTAAATAATACCTCCACGTTCACATTAAAACACAACCACACACAAATCATTCAATTCATACAAGCATTCACATAATTGTAGCTAGGATTCACAAACACCCAAGTGAAAGAAGGGACTACTCCATGCTGAGAGAAGGGAATACACAAGAGAGGGAAAGGGAAATCATCAAGAAGATGCAATCCTTGCTCCTTGTGCTGAAGAAATCCTTCTTTGCGGAAGGAATTCCCAAAACCTTGCTTGGAGATGAAACCCTATATTTTCATCTTCTTTGGTTCGTCACTTTCTCACTCTAAAATCTGAAGAAGGAGAAGTTTCTCACACTAGGTCTCTCCCCCCTTCTTCCTTTCAGCTGGCCTTTTAAATTGAGATCGCACCTAGTTCACGGCATGAGTTCACGGCCGTGAACACTGAAACGCGTCCATGAACTCAGTGCTGAGGCCAAAACGCACCGCTTCAATTGCTCGGGTTCATGGTCAGTGGCCTCTGTTCACGGTCTTAGCGACCGTGAACTGCCTGGGCGTCAGTAACCTGAACACCCCCTCTGTTCGCTCCTCGGTTCACGGGTACTGGCTCTAGTTCACAGTCCTGTAAGACCGTGAACTCCAAGGTAAGGCCAGAACAATGGTTGTCTCCACCTCTTTGCCCGATCTTTGCTCCTTCGGTTCTAACTTTCGACTGCGGGTTTGGTTTTACCTTTTCGGATATGAAACACACTAAAATACAAGCAACCTCAGGTAAAATCAAACTTTTTGGAGTTCAATTGCAACAAACGTCAAAGATAATCGAGAATAAAAAGTGTACAATTAGGCCCGAATCAATTACTCGGTACAGCTCCTTGAGGTCTCGTTGCTAGAGATTGAGCCATTAAGCTCAATTGTGCTTCAAGGTTTTGAAGTGTTTCTTGATGATTTCTTTGACCGACCTCCGAGGTTGAAAACTTGTTTGCGGCATTCTCCACAAATCTATCAATGGTGTCACACCTCCTTGTGGCGGTCCTAATGAATTGTCCCATCATATCTTCAAGCTTTGTCAAATGATTATCCAATGTCTGACCTTGATCCAAATCAGTACCTTGGCTCGAAGACGGGTTGGCCCTTTGAAATGGAACTTGCATCGGTGTTTGCCCTTGAAAACATGGAGGTTTCCTATCCAATGGTGAAGACCATAAGAAGTTAGGATGATTCCTCCATTCCAGGTTGTATGTAGCATTTTGGGATTGTAGCTTCTTTGTTTTAATTTGGGAACAACACCTACAAAGTGGTATGATATTTGGTTTTCAGCTAATAGGTTGACCTGTAACTCCAGGTTAATGGTTCAACCGTTAGCGGATTTTTAATTTCTGGTTATATTTTCGATAACGAAAACGTCGATTAACAATTAAAATAAAAACTGAATGACAAACAAAGAGGTAAAAAGTGACCTCTTCTCATGGTTTGGTTTACTTCCCCCTCTCTCGTCGTGAAAAAACAGAAACTGAGAAAGGATGAAAGAAACTCATATCTTCTTGCCATCTCTGCTTGTGAAAGTGGAACCTTAAACATAATCAAAATCGAGATTCGAAAGTTCAACAATCGCCAACCTTTCCATTTGATAATTTCTCTGCCTCTCCCATATGAAGCTATGAAAGAAGAACGAAGATGAAGAACCCTAAAATCCCTCCACAAAATCGAACTCAGCCAATAGTGGAGCAGCCAAATATGTCAACGTACGTTGTTGTCAGCCTTAATCCCTTCATCCGTTTCCATCAGTTCTCCATTCAACTGCTTGGACCTCCCAAAATCTCTACTCTCCTTCACCGTCTCGGTTTCGCTCTTCGTCGCTTCCCCTTTTCGACTCTCCATCTTCCAGACTAGCCAACCACAACAAATCAGCAACTCAATAAGTAATCCATCATCATCATTCTTCCCAAGATTCTGGAACGTAGACTATCTCATTGTTATAAACGCGCTGCTATGGATCGGGAAATCGCCGGAATCGACAAAGCAAAAATACGAAAGAAAGAATCGAAAAACACAGACACACGATTTACGTGGTTCACTAACACGATGTGTGTTAGCTACGTTCACGGGTGAGAGAGAGCCAATTTCACTATATCGAGGAGATTACAGATTACAGAGGAGTATGAGAAATATTTATAGTACATCTCCATGTGGGTCTAAACCTAATCCAATCTGGCAAAGGAAACGGTTACAGATCAGGCCCAGAACCCGAACCCAAATAACATTGAGCCCATACACCATAGCGGCTGATAATCCGATTCAAGTCACATCAACACCCATTTCGATGATTTCTCATATGCAATACCAACATCGCTATCTTCAACTTCTTATTCACTATAACTATCAAGAAAATGTGTCTATCTCAACCATAACTTAATGCACTATTG